CCGATCTACCTGCAAATTTTTTTATACCCCGGTATAGGGTCGGTGCCATTTACAGCGTATGCATGGAATCCATACGTGGGATCCTTGTAGACGTTAATGGTGACTATTGATGCATTGTACGGGCACTGCTGTTCTTCGATTGTAAGCTTGTCGGTAGCGTTGACCTTCGTATAGGTTTGTTTTGCAGCGCATCGTACAGCACTACTGCACATTGCCCTTGACGTGTTCTGTTCTGTTCGCTTCATTCCGTACACTTTCGGATGTGCAGGAAATACTACCCCACCCCTCATGTAAATATTGCATGACGTATCCTGAAAATCAGATATTGATCTTCCTTCATAGATGTGAGGTGAATGTACGGTTTTCTCAATGATGTTCGTTAATATAATGCTTTGATTTCATAAGTTCACGCAAGACCAGTGTCTCAAAGGTCTTTCCATTTCGCAACAATTGAAACGAGGTCACAGCTTTAGCGAAGTAAGGCAAATGAAGAAACCAGCAACCTAGAAAAATGGTTCTTCTTTTCCTTGAGAAACAGACAATGCAATAGCGATTTGCCGCGTCGCCGCGCGCGTATTAAGGCGATGTGTGGCAAAACCTGACGCGTGTCATTATGTCGATTGGAGCAGTGAAACTCGCATGAATTCAAGCGTAGATAAAACTCGACAACAGAAGTTGCCTAGATGCTCTCATTCTTTTAACATTAAAACGTTAATACACTTCGTAATTCCCTGCGACAACAAGAATATTCAGAAAAACCCTCTGTCAAATTCTTGGTATGAAGCTACTGTACCGTAGGTGTCTGAGAACCATTGCCGTAGGCCACATAGATACAGTCCAAATCGTTGTAGCATGCTTCAGCACATTCGTCAAAGCTCTTAAAGGTTGGTATAGTATATTTTAGTGCTGCTGTGAATGTACCTGTAGTTTTCAAAAGCATGCATGGAACTAGTAGTCTTGCCTGAAAATGCCACTTTCTGGAATATTTTAGTTAGTTCACTGAAGCTTGTCGACCTGTTAAGGTTTCTTTAAGTGATTTGTTTGAAAATTCTTAGAGCATGTTTTTAAAAAGAACCTGGAGCAGAAGGACCCCGAGAATGAGAAGCATCTTTCTCTGGTTTCCGGAAATAGCAGTCCTGAAATTCAATTAGCTTGGGGGGAGAGAGGGGCGTTATAAACAAGTTGAGCTTCCTGTTACAGGGAATCCAAGCTCAAATTCTTCTACTGCAGTTATGTGAGGAGAATTGACACAAGTCAGGATAGACTTTGTGCTGAGGTATGTGGCTGGCATCTCACATGAGAAAGGGCTACCATAGTGACAGCAAACGTCACATCTTACAAACCATAAACATATCAAGGCTAAGTGGGCAATTCTCGAAGAAGAAAAATGTGATGTGTGTGGCGATGTGAAGCCAAATTGATTTTGATTTATTTTCTCTAACAAAGTGAAATTTAACAGGATACTCCTCGAACCTCCTCTTGATGAAATCACTGGTATACAGCAGAGAAACGGAAAGATCAATGCATCCTCCTTGATAAGCCTCGGGACTTCATCCACAGATGGCTTACTGTTAGCATTAGGTTGTCCGGAAAGTTCTCAGCGTTGAGTGTTTCACTTTAAACGATCATAACTTTCTTAATACTCATCGGATTTAATCGAAATAAGCACCGTTCGAATCAGCACACTTTTGCCAATGTGACACCAGTCGATAAATCCCATCAAAAAAAACTGGGTGGTCGAGAATCCACGAAATCCACGAAGGCTTTTTTGCCTGGTCCTGATTGATGAAGTATTTTCCAGCAAGGAAGTTCTGAAAATGTTTGAAAAGGTGATAGTCGGTTGGTGAAAGGTCTGGAGAATATGGCGGGTGAGGTAGAACTTCAACCCCAATTCGTTCAATTTATGGATAGTGATTTGTGAAACGTGTGGGCGGGCGTTGTCATGCAAAAGAATCGGACCCTTTCTGTTGACAAGTGCTGGCTGCAGCTGACGCAATTTTCGGTACATTTCGTCGATTTCTTCACAGTAGGACTCTGCCGGTGAGGATCACACCAGCCGATGACCACCACACTGTGACCATAATCTTTTTTCGTGAGGATTCGGCTTTGGAAATTGCCTCGGTGGTTCGTCGGCATCCAACCACTGTCCGGAACGTCTCCTGTTATCATACATGATCCACTTTTCATCACAGGTGACAATTCGGTCCAAAAACGGGTCGTTTCTGTTGCGCAAAAGCAGTGAAGAAGAAACCTCGAGACGTGCCAATTTCTGCCGGTCACTCAAATTGTGGGGCACCCACTTTG